GATATTAAAAAGATAAAAATATTTAATTATTATTATAAAATAAGTAAGAAATGTAAGTCTCATTTAACTTCATTTATTAATTATTTTTAGTGTTAAAATATTTTAATTTTTACTCTTTTTTTATTTATTTTAAGAACAAGTGCAATTTCCTCATTGCAAAAAAATTTCTAATGACTTTTTGAAAATTTTACTAAAATATTTTAAATTTAAAAGCATTCACGGGCATATCTTGTATAATCTTGCACATTTGCCAATAAAAAATAATTTTAGGATAATTTTTTATTATTTTTATGTAATTTTATGTATTTATAAATAATTAATTTTTTTTATTTAAAATATATGATTTTAAATATATTTACTTATTTAATAATATATAAAATTATATAAAAATAATAAAAAATTATCTTTATATCATTATCATTTTTAAAAAATATATGATATTGTAATTTTTTTTCTAATCATGTCCGGTGAGATGTATTCGATATGCTGAACATAGGATTATCTCCAATCCGACCCTACAAGTCTTTCGGCCAAAGAAAAAGGAGATCCTAGCTATCTTTTTTTTTTTTTTTCTTTTAACAAAAAAAAAATTAAAATATGTGTTAATATCCATTATTTCATAAAAAAATCAAATCTTAAAGTTGAATATATTCTATCTGCTGCTCAATGATTGAGAGTTCAATCTTATCAACGATTTGAAAAACTCTCTCTTCTTCTTCCATAATTCCGCGGGTTTCAGAAAAAAGAAAAAAAAAAAAAACTCCCGCCCATGACCTTCTTCATCTTCCCCTGTCTTGGATTTCCCATTTTTCTCTCTCCTCTTGCTGCACATATCTACCTTTACTAGAACCAGAACAGGAGGAGTCGGATTGAAACTCACCCCAAATCCATCAAAATCTATTTTGAGATAATCTCAATATCTATTTATTCCTAGCTGGTAGTTTTTCAATGAAAACTTTCAAAATTATCGAGCCTCAAATATATAAAAGCATTAGAAAAAGGGTTTGTAAAGATGCTTTTTTATTTTTTTTGAACAGGATAATTTGGGGAATAGGGAATGGAATTTGCGGAACTTGAAGAGATGAATTTGGGCTTGGAAAATCCATCAAATTTTCAAACTTCTCAAGCATTGAAAGTTAGTTGGTATGTATCCGTTTTTAAATTAAATCGAAATGATATAAATTTAAAATTCATTTTGGTTAAATTTTAGTTTTTTTTGTTAAATTTTAGTTTTTTTTGTTAAATTTTGATATATCAATTGATATTTTACGTATCAACTAATACACTTAAATTAAAAACAAATTAAGCGAGATAATTCAAATCTTATAAAAAGGCAAAAATGCAAATCAGTCCCTTAACTAAAAACAAACACAAATCAACCTCTCAATTCATTATATGATTGCAAATCAACCCTTTTTGCACGGCTTACGTTAAACATTCGTGCTTTTGGTGGGGTTCATTCTTTATATGATAATAAGGTGGTATTTTTTATTTTACATTAGTGTTAAGTTGGTACTAAATTAGTAATTTATATTAAGACTTTTTTAAAAAGTATTTATTAAATATTTTTATTATTAATTTA